TGTAGACTTTGAAAGAAATATTGCGTATTTTTTAGTTAATGTCAGGTATAAAAATTAACTTTTATAAAAGTTGTGTATTGGAGATTAACACTGACGATGACTTTAAAAACTTGGCTGCAGAGTTCCTACATTGTAAGATTGATAACTTTCTATTAAAGTATCTCAGGTTACAGTTAGGTGTTAACATGATGAAGCCTAGTGCATAAAAGGGTGTGTTAGAGGCTCTTAAAAAGATATTGACATCATGGAAGCGTAGGTATTTATTGATTAATGTCATTGTACTCGTTATCCTTTTTTAAGGCACCAAGTTGGTGATAAAGGAGATTATCACTATTCAGAGAAATATTTTATGGAAGGGTGTTAAGAATGAATCTAAAATTGCCTAGGTGAAATGAGAAACGATTTGTAGACTGCAGAAAAATGGTGGCTTAGGTATTAAGAATGTGCAGTAGTTTAACTGGATACTTCTTGGTAAATAATTGTGACTAGATATGTCAAAAAGCTCAGTTGGCCCAACCCTAACCTTAGTTCATATGGGTCAGAGCTAAAAAGCCCTGAGAGCCAAAAAGCACACTAAAAGATAAGCCTATAGGGCTAAAAAGCCCACAAAATCAAGGTTAGGGTCAGGGCTTTGTGGACCAAAATTTTTTTTATGTTCTTAGAAAATTTAGATTTGAAAATTTTTTTATATGAATTGCGATAATTATTAAAATATCTAGTGAAAATATTTATTTTATATAACATTTTTTATTATAAAGTTATAGTCTAATAAAATTGTTTAAAAAATTTAACCTTATAATAAAAAATTTATAAAAAGAAATCAACTCATCAAGTATATTGAAACAAATCTAATGAAAAGAAAAATAAATAAATTTTATGATATTTGAAAAGGAGAATAATTATTTGGAAAAAAAAAAAAGCTAGACATAGGATATGACTTCATCAACTTAGTCTAAGATAAACAATACAATCACTTTCTTAGTCAAGATTAAAAAAAAAAAATTTAAATTTCAATCCACCCTTGACAATGTTACTCTAGAGAATATGTGGTAATCAATGTACACTGCTTTCGACAGCTAGTACATTATTGCCACTTATTATTATATAATAATATTTTATTAGAAAAGTTTGTTACTTCAAACATATCATTATTTGATTTTATTTTTCTAATTTGCAATTTAATCTATATTTATAAATGATTTATTGTTTGACAGTACAGCTATAGACTCACAATAAGAGGTGCATATATTTTTAACGTAAAATTATCGACCATACCCAGGAGGTGTTCGACAAAGATATACCATTTTATTATTTAATTATTTTTAGTTAAAAATATTTATTATTAATTTTTAATTAAAATAATAAATTAGTAACGTACTATATCAAATTTAATTAATAAAATTAAACAAATATAAAAGCTAAATTTAATTTAATTTTATAATATAATTATATTTGATATTATTTTTTATGAAAATTTTAATATATTGAATCAATATTTTTTTATTTTTAAAAATATTTTTATATTTTAAATATAATTTTTAATTTATTTAAATAAAATAATTTAATAAATATTATAAAAAAATGATATAATAATTATTATTTATTTTGTAAAATAAGTGGGCTAGCCCACCCTTAACCCTGACCCTAACCCTAACTCATTTTTTTTTTTTAGGGTTTAGGGCCAATATAAACCCACTAACTATAGGACTTTAACAAATACAAGGCTATATAGGAGCTAATAGGGTAGGTCTTAGGGCTTTGGCCCATTTTGATAGCTCTAGTTGTAGTGAGGTATTAATTATTCTAGTTCATTATGGGTACGGGTATTGGAAGCTTAGTATGACAGATTAGTCTCTTCTATTCAGTATTCATCAATACACAACAAATGTTCTTTGTGGTGGCGTGATTTGTTGGAGGTTTTTCATCAAAAAAATTTATGGCTGAATGAGAAGTTCGATAGGAGTGTGGGTGCAAGTTTGTACACCTTTTTTTGGAGAGATAAGTGAGTAGGCGGGGTGCGATTGTGTGAAGCATTTCTGCGATTGTTTGCGGCGGTAAAAAATATTGAAGCTTGTATATTGGAAAATAGTTTTTATGATGGCATGAGGTGAGTTTGGGATATTAATTGGCGCAGAGGACTCTTTCAACATAAGATCTCAAGTTTTAATTTTTTATTAGAACTTGTTGATAAAGTTTCTATTAAGATGCTACAAGAAGATAAATGGGTATGGAGAGCGGATTCTTCAGTTGTTATTTAGTGCAATTTGCGTATTTATGACTATTTGAACTTTTTAGTGGTTTTAATAATATATATTAGTGTACGGCAGATGCCTTGTAAAAGCTATTGAGAGGGAAGGTCTCACCTAAGTATCTAGTATTTTCTTGGCAATTGTTGTTGAATGCATTTTCTTGTAAAGATCTGTTGATTGATCGTAGTATTCAAATCAATGATATAACTTGTTGCTTTTGTCACAGTTTGGAGGAACTTCCAAGTCATTTATTTTTAACGTACTCAATTTTATCTTAAATCTGGTACTTTACTGTGCTTTGACTTGAATTTTCACTGATTTTGCTTTCAAATTTATCTGACTCACTTGCTTGGGTTTGTGTTGGTTGTAGTAAAAGAAGAGGAATATATTTATTAATTGTCTGAGTTAGTACAATATGATTTTTATAGTTACATAGAAATAGAATAGTATTTTCTAATGGTATTTTGGATAAGAAGAAAGTCATAGATTATATTATTCTGAGATCCTAGAAGTAACTATCACTTGTTAGTAAGGAGAACCTATTTTGTTAGCTTATTGGTATTTGGACCCACGAAATTGCATATGTCTTAACTTAGCATAAGTATGTTTCTATATTTTTATTTTTTTGTGTAAGTGTTGATTTTTTTCTCTATATATATGAGTTTTGAGTTCTCTTTAAACTCTCTAATAATATATATTTTGTCTATAAATAAAATGAATAATTTTCTCACGAAATTTATAATTAACCAATAACAAATATATCATCTTATACAGTAAATTAAAGTACTTACTTTTAAAATATGATTTTTTATGTATTTTCTTTCTCACATATTTATGAGTTTAACTGATTAAATGATACTTTTTTTATAAAAAATAATTTCTTGAATTTTTTGTTAACACTTAAATCTTTTTGTAGGTATATAATTAAAGATGGAAAGTAAAACAAAAATAACGAGCAATTGAGGAATTTGCATCAAACCCTTTTATTCAGTTGCGGCGATTATTCTAATGGAATTAAATTTTAATTTGTAATTGTATTTATAAAATTATTATAAAATATTATTAATGATTATTCATTTCTATTAATCTTAATTTAATAGATATGAAAAGGTAGCATATATGAATTCAGAGTTAACATGATTATAGCTCTTCAAAATAATTGAATTTCAATTGATTTTAGTCCTATAAAAATATGGTTTTCAGTCCTTATATTCTTTTAAATTTTGTAGTCCTAATTATTGATGTAACTAAAAGAATTATATATGATACAAAATTAACACTCACATGAGTTAACATCAGTTAACATTGACTACGTATAAAAATAATCATCTTTAAAAATATAAAAACTAAAAAAATGATTTATAAAGAGACTTAAATTAAAATTTAATATATATTAAAAAAATTAAAACATACTGATCAATATTAAAAGTCTATCCCAAAAGTATGATATTAATATAATTTTTTATGTGAATTTAAAACACTACTAATAAAATCACTTATTTATTATAAACATTATAAACTGTACCAAAAATACGTTATGTGAGGTATAAATCCTTATGAATGAGAAATTAAATTTGAATAATGAAGAATCAAAATTTTCTTATCATGCTCTCCTAATGTTAGATTTTTAGTGGGCCAAACTAATAGAGCAATGAAACATGTTTTTACAACAGTAAAAGAGATTCAACTATATTATTTATTAATTTTAAGCATCTCTCATCAAGAATTCAGAAGTTAGGTCCACATTAATTTTCATATAAATTAATGTTAAATGCCTAAAATTTATTAGCAATTCATCACTTTATTAGAAGATTTAAATATTTTCAAATGAATCATAATATTAACTTATTTTTTATAAAAATAAAAAAACACAATTAACTGTATCTCATAATAATTTATAAAAAAGTTTACTAATTTCAAGTGAGTCTATTTATATAAAATTATTATTATATTGTTAACACATCACATTATTCTGTGATATATCACTTTATTAGAATAGACCTTAAATATCCTAATAAATTGGTTGTTGTTAGTTGGCTTTTTGCTGGGTTACGTACTGAGCGTGACGCAGACAAACTGAACACAAATTGCTACTCAACACACGTTATGTGGATTCGCAGTTCCTTTTTGCAACGGTACTACATATTGGGTATTGGATATATACCCCAAAACTTTCGGTTGAAGCACAATCTGTCATGACAATTAAGCACTAGATAATGGATATATATTCCAAAACTATTATCCAAGCGAATAAAGACAAGTTGTTAGTTAAAATATCACTTTATTTCAATCTATTTTACAAGACTTGTGTCAAAAGTTTCAGTAAGATACTTTAGGTTTTTCTATAAAGTATTTATTATAATTTTTTTATTAGGTAAAGAGATTAAGAATATATATTAAAATTAAGAAGGATAAATATAAGCAGTAGAATTACGTTTAAAATTTTCTTCAAATACAAAAATTACTTTTATAAATTTGATCAAATTCACATGTTAAATTTTAACAATTCTTTAAAATATATATATAAGACATGATTTTCTTATACTAACATGAATTTGTAAATTCTTACACTTAATTCAAATTTTTTATTTAATTTATATCTTATACTTTATTATTTTATTTATCGTTACATATAAATTAATTAAAAAATGACTTACACCCTGTATGTATATATATATTATTACCCAAAGCACAGATTCGCTTTCTAGCGCCTATATATAGTTGGCTTAGTTAATCGGTAACATTAAGGTTGTCGAATAACAAAACATTTAAGGGTAGAGCGAAATTCAGCAGAGAGATCAAAATGTCAAGCCGTTTGATGAGACAGTTCTACGAACTTGCACAGGCTGAGGAAGCAGCCAGAGGGACCAATTATGGTACTTCAGGCTCATACAACAACCATGGAACTTCAAACTCATTCAACAACCGTGGCAATGGCAACCAAAATTTCTCCGGTGCAAGAATCAACAGTGGCGCAAATTCAGGTGACCGTAAGAGCTATCGTCACTCCAACCACTACGGTGAACGCACTATAAATAACAGTGGTAATTTCCATGGCAACGGCAACGCCGGCTTTGTCGAGGGTGGCTTTGACGCCTCAACAAACAACTACTATTAATTAATTATCTGTGCTTGAAATATGGTGTGCAATATGATCTACTATGCTGTGTTGTCCTAACAATAATGGAAGTTGAGCGATAGCTCTTCTTGTCTATAATAAATGTAATGGTTTTCGAGTGTTACCTAGACCCTGAAATTGAGGTTCAGAAGAAACCTCTGTTGTTAACATAATAAAACAACTTTTACTTTCTCTTTTCTTTCTGATAACTTTTCCATTCTATTTTTCTGTAGGGGGTTCGCTTGATAGCTATACTAGGCTTAGTTGAATAGGCTAATATATTAATAGAATATACATGTTGACTGTTTATACCTCATTCATATACGAGTTTATGAATATATAATATTTTGTCTTATATTATTAATCGTTTATAATATATTATTAATAATGTTAAATAATGTTTCACATTAAATATGTATTTAAATAAAAATGTTATACAACTTTAAAAAAGAAATACTAAACAATTTATGAAAAATTAAATTATTATTTAGTTATTAAAAAATTATAATACTAAATAAAATTGCACTAATAAAGAATTTTGTGTTTAGAATGTTTGGTAATTTATCTTATACTTTCTCAAATCTTATTTATAAGAAGTAATTATTACTTTTTTTGTTGCTAAAATATAAAAAATAAAAATTCATTCTCACATGCATTGATTCTTAAATTTTTTATACCCTTATTTGTTATAAAATTATATCAACAAAACACTCACATTACACATACAAGTATATACATTCATTTAGTATGAGTTATTATTTTGATGTTTTATTAATATAAATATTTTTGAAATATATTCTAAATTTATAACATATAATTATTTTTTATTGATCTTAGTAATTTTTTTCAATTAAAAAAGATCTGAGGAGTAATTGTTAATAGAAAATGTTAATATGTACTCTTAAGACACCGGGAATCAAAGTTAAACTAACTAGTTAAATTATTAAAACTGAAACATAATTATTTTCACATTATGTAATCTCTTAAATCGAATAAATATGGCTCGATTAGACCTGTTATAATTTTCTTCTTTGTTTTCTTTTCTATTATAATTAATTTAATTTTTTTATCAATAATATTTATAAAATATTAAATAAAATATATAAATATATGCATAATATGAAACTCTATTTGTTATGTTATTTTTATTTTTATATTTTATATTAAAAAATTAATAAGTAAAGTATCTACCAACCTTATAACTTAATGTATAATTTAAATCGAGTTAGTTTAGATGACATTAGTTGAAAAATTTTGACAACTTTGATTTAACCTAATCTGATTAAATTTAGTTTATTTGAATTTTAGTCCTAGTAAAGATTGACCCAATTATACTGATCTTATTTAACTATTGGATTAAAATTGAAACTCTGAAAATATAATGGCATATAAATTCATTAAAAATAGTTTGCAATGCATACAAATTTTATCTGATTTATGAATTAAATTAAATACTTAATAAAGTGTCTAAAATACATTGACCTTAGACACAATATTTTGCCTAATTCAGCTCGTGATTATCCCCTTCTATAAATGCTTTATTATTTTTTTTTTCGTCGAAAAAATGGTCTATTATTTTACCGCCAAAGTGCAACAGAGTGACATCTTAAATACGTTTGGAAAATATTCAATGCACTGTTAGAAAAAGATATTTTTATTTACTTTTTGAAATGTGTAAATACAAAAAATTAAAATCTAAGTGAAAAAAATATAATATATATTACATACGAATACAATGATAATTTTTAATAGTTTAAATATAAATTATTAAACAACTGGACAACCACAAATGTAGATGTAATGATATCTCAATGAATTAATAATGATGAGAATATAATAATTTTCTCTTTATGTTTAAATTTATCTAGACAATCCTTTTATTTGTTAACTAACAACGACTTGACATATGGCAGTTCATTATGTAAATTACCACTTATCCAAATACAGCACAATAGACATTAAGTATGTGTACACGTTCCATGCGTATACAATAGTAAAAAAGAAATAATTAAGGGGCTAAAGTTCTAAGAAATAATAGGATCTAATTGTCATCTCATGAATCAATCACACACATCTAATTAGCAAGAGATAAAGTTAGAAATCTATTTATTTTAAATTCAAAGTTACTTATATATATATATATATATATATATATATATATATATATAACTACACTCTCCTAGTTAATGTTATACAATCCCTTCTTTCAATTACCGGTAATTTAAGTTAACCGTAGATAAATTTTGAGGTCAAATCAATAACTACAAAACGAAAGAGTATAAGCATACACCCTAACTAGAAGAGTTCATATTAGACGGTCCCCATGTAATAATAAAATGGTTACATGTTTGAGTTTGAATTTTAGGCTATGTTTTAGAAAAATGCTTATTAGTTGGATTTCATTAATGTATCGATGCGATGCTCGCAAGCCCATTGGTGTCTGTGCTTGGACGCTTTATCTAGCTACTCTTTTTCTGTGGTTTTGGTATGGCTAATATATATATATATTCCAATTTGAGCGATGGATATAGATAAGCCAAAGATCCCTTTCTATCCATTGGATTCCATTACTGGTGCTTGTTTTGTCTTAGGCATCAGATTCATTATTTAATCGTTGATGCGACACCCATCAACCCAAAATAAATTAATAAATAATAAAAGAATATACTATACCATTGTTTTGTTGTTTTAATAATATATTTAGATATTACTTAAAAAGTACATATTTCGATATAACTATGTACATCATGGTAAACAAATTTAAGGTCCCAACAAAACTCATATTCACACACTAGCTAGATCCAAGACTATTTCATAAACCCAGTCTAACCTGAATATTTCATAAACATTCCTTGTATGAATATAGCCATATAACTATAAACAATGGGAATCGCTTACAGTCGTCAAATTAACATTCTAACCCGATTGTACATCTTTTCAAGCGGGCCCAATGGTACCATAGCATACTATGGGAGAAAATGTTGAGATTTCCATGACAAACCGAAGAGAATTAAGATGATCAAGCAGATATTTGGGTTTGGGCTGTAATGTACAAAACAGTAGAATTTGACACTATAAATAACCAATAAACACCAGAATAGGAATAGTTTAAAAAAGTCAAAATGAAGATAATAGAGCCCAACCAATAGTGCTAGAATGAAGAGCAGGAACAGAGAATCCAGAAACCAAAAGAACCTGTTTAACAAAAACTGCATCATGGACACCAACTTTTCTTTGGGCTTTCAGTCCCTTCACATCACAAAACAATTCACCATACCACTATAAAAGGATATAATTTTGATTCAAATATTTATCCTCACACCAAAAAAAATATTTATCCTCACATCACAAATCTTCTGTAGATACAATTTATTTGAAGCATGACAGCCAAAAAGAAAAAAGGCAGCACAAAAATACGAATTTTCTATGGAATCTGAACTCCGCAGTTAAAATGGCACTAGTGAAGATGGGTCCAAGTTTTACAATCACGATGAATAATAACAATTTTTGTAAAGTAAAAATACTATTAGTAAAACGTAAGAGTAATAACTATAATATGTAGCGTGATTAAGCAATGTAAAAAAAATGAGTTTCCAATTTACTTGTTGAACCATGTCTGTCTGTGACCGCTAGCGGCTTTGGTCATTATTTCAAGTCGCGCGGCTTGTTCAGTGCACACATAAAAATAAAGTTGTCTTGCTTTTGTTTGGCTTCTATTGATCTCTCTCTCTCTCTCTCTCCACTTAGATCTCAGCTGCCGTAAGCAACAAAGAACAAAACTGCTAATAAAGTTGGAGGAATTTTGAGTGAGAAGGATATTTTGATTCTTGTTGAGGTGAGTTGGACTTGAGGATGAAGGAATCTTGAGAGAGGGGTGATTTGTTGTTGTCGTTAGCGTTTCACTGCTAATAAAGCTCAAGGAATATTTTGAGAGGGATTTGATTGATGCTGTCATTGCAGTAGAGAACGTCGAGGTTTCGGGGCAAGAAGGCACCAACAACATTTTCATTTTTAAATAAATATGATTAGGCGATAAAATTAAAAAAATTTAAATGAATAAAACATAAAAAAATTAAATAAATGTAATCGAATCTCGGTTAAACTAAAAAATAAGAAGAGAAAATAATTCACAATTTTTATTGTAAAAATACTTGGCTTTTTGAAAGAAAAGTTTTTTCTAATAATTTCTAATCACTTTTTTCTTATTTATTTTTCATTTCTGTATTTATTCGTGTTTTATAAGTGTTTCTACTTTATATGAAGTATTTAAGTTATTTATTTTTTATATTTTTGTATTGTTTTTACTTTTGTGTTTGAATGAAAATAAAAATCTATCTATTATTGTTTGTGTAATTTTCATATAGGGACATATAATTTGAGCTCTTGAGTTGAAAGTGTGTTCAAAAACAAATTTTACTACACAGTTATTTACGATATTCTTGTATCATTTTTAATTTAAAAAGTTATTTTTAATTTTAATTATTTGAAAGAGTATCACGTACATGAAAAAATTGTATTACTAATTAAATTTAGATTGTTACGGAGAAATAAAAATTAAAATTTTTTAAATAGTAACTTATAAAAGAAACTACAATAAATATATTAAAATTACTAACTCATAAAAATAATACAATATTATTGATCGTACTGAAATAAATTCCATCAATCGATTAATTCCTCACTTGCCAAACCTATTTAGCTAGCTAGCTAAGATCACGTGCCAAAACATCTTGCTATAGAGAATTTTGCTACCCTTTTACGTTTCCACAACTTTATATCATCTATATTTCCCTTTTTTTTTTTTCCGGCAAACGAAATGGAAGAACTTAATCATCTCAATGACTGCATTGCCAAACACAGTTTCGCCCCTCAATAATTAATGTTGAATTTCATTGCTCTAGATTTCTAATTCTAATTAGTAATAATAGCTTTTAAGGCCTATGAGGGTTCTTTAAAACTATTCATTTCAAATGCTGTACTACATCGTAGGCAAAATTGATTTAACTCAAATATATACTAAACGAGGCATTCAATTCCAAATTCACCGTAATAAAATCCAGTTACTCTAATTTATAAGTGAGACAATCATTTTACTTTACAATACTTTCCACGTTGACCTCAAATACTACCCTATTTGTAACATGATACTTTGAGACAGCTAATCTTATAGGAAATAATTTGATTTGTCACGGTTAAGGTTGAGACTGTAAGGACTCAAAATTCAAATATTGAGGCTTTCTCCGTTCAAACTCTACTTTATTTCTAGGTATCTGTCTCACACACACAATATATATAGATAGATAGATATACTATGCATTAATATTACCTTAGAC